AAAAAAGAAAAAAATCCCAAAAAAAAAAAAAAAAAAAAAAAAAAGAAAAATCTGAGACAGAACAGCCAGCCTGGTGCCTCTGCCTCTCCTAACACCGTCCGTAGGGTTAAAGCCTGCTCATATTTTGGAAACCATCATAGGTGAATGGGGGGAAGTTTGGCAAACAAGAGGCGGTTTTGGGCAGGCACGCAACAGGGTTGATTTCACACGCCGTGAAGTCCTGCTCGCTGGTGAAAAACACACCATCGTGCGAGTAGATGGAGGGGTCCAGGTCGTAGTAGTTGTAGGGTCTCAGGAGAAAGCCGACTGAGTTTCCCACCGTCACAGTGTTGGGAATATCCTCAGAGTGCGGGATGTGAAGGAAACCAGTGGTTATCCAGGCAACCAGGTCCTAGGCAGGGAGGAGCCACAAGACCACGGTTATTCCAGAAACCTGGAGCGACCAAAATATGCATAGGGGCCATGGAAAATTACAGGGGAGCAGGAAGGGACCTCCAGAGAAAACCAGCTCAGCTGCATTCCCACATGCCAAGCTCCCCTGCTCCTGGGAAAGATCCCCCCCTTCTCCGACAGCCTGGCCGCAGCCACAGCCGTAGACGTCCACCCAGCAGAAGGGCCCCTGCCCTGACCCCTGCAGCCAAAGCCCTGGCCTCAGAGAGATTTTCCTGATGTTTTGCCAGCATTTCTCCATAGGGAGAAATGAGTTTCTGCTCTACACTCTGATCTGCACGCTCTGACCAAGCACCAAGCAGATACACAGCAAAGGGGATGCTCAAACCCGCTTTCCTCATTCCCTGGGGCTGCTGCTCTCCCAGCTGAGCCCGCTGTCCCACGGGCGATCCCGGGGTCACTCAGCCCCTGGGACAGCCCTAGGGCTGGGTGTTACAGCTCCAGCCCAAGGTAGCCCAGCCCACCTCATTGGTGATGGTCTCGTTGTTGATGAAGTTGGCGAAGGTGACAGTGGGTGTCCAGGGGTCGTTCTGGTTGTAGATGCTGGTACTGGTGGGCTCCTCCTCCTTCCGCCTGGTGACAGCCAGCTGGTACCTGAGGACAAGAAAAGAGATGGGAGCACTCCCCTGGGAGAGGGCAGAACTAAAAGCCAGCTCCCCAGAGAGCCTGCAGGGCACAAGCCTGCTCCTACAGAGTAACCCCAGCCCAGGAGAGCATCTGCCCTGTGCCTCTCCATCCATGTGATGCCTCCCCAGCTGGCGGAGCTGGGGATGTCTCTGAGAACCTGCCATCCCAGACAGCGCAGCCTGACCTTGCCCAGCTGATGGCCCTCTCCATGGAGCTGGATTCAGGGACATGTTCCCCTGCAAAACTGGTGATCTGGATCCTGTAACCACGCTGGTGGCCCCACTTGTTTTTGCTGTTGGCTGCAAAGTAGATGTATCTCGGCATCTTCGACTGGAGACGGAAAGCAGCCTGGTCCTCTGTGTCCAGGACTTTCTTGGTGAGTCGTGGCCGCTCTATCTGTTGCTCTGGGCTCCAGGGAGCCCGTACCATCTCAAACGCCATGTCATGGGCCACCAGGGAGTTTTTCACCCCTGCAAAGCAAAAGCAAAGTCACTGAGGAGCAACCTCACAGTCCCTTGTTCCCCACGGACATCACTGGAGCCAGAGCTTGCTCTCCCCATCCTCCCTTCCCACTCCTGCCCGTGAGAGCAGTTACTGCTCCACGGCAGCACAGCTGTACGTCGTGTACATCTATCTATGGCTGTACGACTGTACGTCTGTCTGACCCAGGCAACACCACGCTGTGGCAGACACCACCACCCACGGGGACTCTCCACCTCTGCGAGGGACAAGAGGGGAGCCTCATCCCAGTGCAGAAGAACTGGTTTGCTTCCCAGTGCAAGCACAGACTAATTACCTCAAGCGCCTTGATGGCGCTTGTGCTCATCAGCATGCATCCTGTGAGCTGGAAAGCACAAGGAAGAGCCCAGGCTCTGAGACATTTGCACATCACAGAACTGGAGCAGTGCCGCGCGGTTCAGGTCTTTCCACAAAGAAGAGTCATGAGCCAGAGGCTCGGAGCAACAGGAGGGGCACAAGAACAAATAAATCTGGGGACCAGGTGGCAAAGAGCTGGCTGAGAGCGCTCGAGGTGTACGGCCCTCCCATGCTGCGCTCCCCTCGGCCCCACACGAGTTTCCAGCTTGCGTAAAGGCCATTTCAGAGCTGAGCCTCTGGCCATGCTGGAAGGTCCGAGCAGCACCTTGGGCCTGAGCCCCAGGGCTGCCATCGAGCTCAGCGCCAGAGCCCTGTGGGAGAGGACCCACACCCAGCAACTGCTACCGTGCTCATTTTCTTCCCTTTTCTGATGTGAACAAAACTTCTTACCCCACACCTCCCCTTCCAGTGATAGCAGCAACGCTCTGATTTCATCAGCCTTTTCCCCGTTCTTGCAGTTTTGCAATCCTCCATTTTTACCCAAGTACTCCAAACTCATCCTAAACCCACACAGAACAGCCTTTAAATTTGCATTTCCCAATTAAAAGGAAATTGGGAAATTTTTCATAGGTGGCA